TATCGTTCGGCAAGACGTCAAATTAACCATGTGTTTTGGTCCGTTAGACTTGAGAGTATCCTTAAATTTCACCTATATTTGCGAGCTACTCTTAAAAGCTAAGTTTCAAGCTATTTTTCTTAACCGATGTTAGCAATTATTGTGAAAAACGAAAAATAAAGCTTTTAATTAACGATTATATAAAAATATCAACATGATCGATAAATTTAGGTAGCAACTTTTGAAATTTAGGCAGCAACGTTTTGGATTTTTGGCAATTTTTTAGCAACTTTTTGGTATTCCAGTGAGCAACTTTCCAGCATTTTAAGAGCACAATCGGGACAGGCCTAATATGGAGGATATAACAGTCTATTAGCAGAGCTGAAGCACTGCCGGGTGAGGGACTGAAACTGAGATTTTTGACTCACGAGTGAAAAAGAACGCGCTTAAGTTTTTGAGTATTCTTTTCAGCCTGTCATGCAGACTGCTGTCAGACCGTCGTTACCCTCTATTTTGAGATGCTTGTTTTCATTGTAAAGCAGAAAAAAATTGTATTAACATGTTTAAAACTCAACTGTGAATGTGTTATAGTTCTGCTATATCGCTAGCTACAGAGTTGTCGTTGTGATAACTATGTCGACTAGCATCGAAAATGTACAATTTCCCGCGCTTGACGCGGGTTGCACCTACAATGTAGCTCTTAACTTTGACGGTGTTGATTGGTTCACTTGTCATTTGGGTTTGTCGTGATTGGTCAGATGTGATAACGACACTTTTAGTTTGACGACACGAGTCCTTAGAAAAACTTTCAACAACCTGAGTAGGACATTTTCCGGCCCGTCAGAGCTTCTTTCGTGAATATTCCTATATATCATCTTGCATTGATACCAACGTATATGGCTACTAGTGAGGGTGTAGGGTTTTTTTACATTGTTTTCCACAAGAAAGCTTCGGAGAGATGTGATGCTTGCTACATCAAAAAACTGTTCGATCTCTCGATGTTAGGTCGTGAATACAACATCTTTTTCTGTTTTCCTGCTTGTCTCGACAGAGCTGCGCAAATAAAGGCTGAGCCAGTCCCTGCCACGAACAGAAAGAATGCCCAGCCTAACTTACAATGTCCAAGCTTGTAGAAATTGGCGTCGTTCCCGCAAGCTTGTTTAAATTCAACACTACCCCAGCCTGAGGGATAAATACCACAAGATACGGCAAGAATGAAACCTGGAAAATATAAAAAAGAAAATAAATATTAGTTATTGTTTTTTTTCGAGGCGTTTGCTCCCCATTTTGCTCTGTCTTAGCCTGCTTTTTATGCCCTACAGTCGAGTGAATATATATCGTTTTCGGCAAGTCCTAGTAAGAGTATCCGATTCTTATCATCCAGTCAGAAAACGGCACGACCGTTTCGAAAGTTGTCACGTCAGCATAGCATTGCCGAGTTTTGTCGAGTATCTGAAACCCGGGGCTCGGGCGCAGCTCTCGGAAACAGAATTACTGTCCAATATTAATTAAAGGTATATACTTTCCCAACGCAGTGTTTGGCGAAGGGGTCGATAGATTTGTTGCGATTTCTTTTATAGTCTATGAAGTGACTTCTCTGACTTCTCTCAGCTCTCCAGTTCGGTAAGGCTCCTACAGTTTGAATTCCGGCCGCTTACATAAAAAATTTAAACACTATAGCTGCTTTTATAGCTTTAAAATGATCATGTACCAGGGCTAATATTTGAGAGAGAAAGGCCTCGGCTTCTTTGAAACTCTGCCATAGCGCGTGGGAATGTAGGCCTGTAGCGCGTACATACATTTTTGTTTTAGCACACTTTTAATAATAAACTCCTATTTGTTTATAGTATAATAATAATACCCGACGACGGTGCGCTGTTGATCAGTTGTGTAATTCTCATCAATGTGTAAAGAGAATTTGGTGGTTTAGTGTAATTATCGACTTAAACAACTGTACAGTTAGTTTTGTGTATGATGCTAACGGTTTTGCGATGCGAAGAAAATTCTGAGACACAAACTAATACAGTGAAACCTGTATTAAGCGGACACCCTTGGAACTCTCGTTAGTGTCCGCTTAAAACAGGGTCTCCGCTCAAAGCAGGCTCTAATATGTTGTGCAATAACAGTTAATTATTAACCCTTTTGTAACACAGTGTAACACAGCGTAAGATCAAAGCCTGCTCATTGCAGAATGTCCAGACAGTCAATGCATCAATCTGGAATAATCTGTTAGCTTTAAAACATCGCTGAACAATGTTAAGGGATTCTCAGCTGAACTTTTAAGCCTGGTTCACAATTGTGACATAAGCGTAGGACTAGTGAAATAAGAGCTAACAAGCACAAGCATGAGCACAAGAAAAAGAAACATGTTTCTTTTTCTTGTGCTTGCGTTCATGCTTATTTCACTAGCATTATGCTAATCCCTCAAGTGTGAACCAGGCTTAAGCGGTTAAATGCCCTTAAAGTGTCCGCTAATTGAAGATTTTGTACAACAAAATGGCTTAATATTGGTGTCCGCGTCCGCTTAACAGAGATGTCCGCTGAATGAATTATTTTAATTATTTTTTCTGAATTATTTTACAGTGAATGTGTGAAGAAAATTTAGGGACTCAAGCTGGTGTCCGCTTAAAAAAGGGTGTCTGCTTAATAAAGGTTTCACTACGTTACAGACTTCTCCAAGTGTCGGCACTGTGATGAAAAGAGCGGTAAAGTTT